TGCTGTTAACGCCACGCCAGGCCTCTATCGTCGTTCGCTCGGGAGTGCAAGCCAAATAAACGACAATCACACCGAGGAGGAGGACTTGGAGAACCATCCGCCATCCGCCTTCGACAGTGTGCTGTCTAGGCCTCCCAGCTGCTCAGGACTGTCTGAGCACAGACACCACCCTGAACTACAGCGTGTGGGCGCCAAGAACTGGTCTGCCTGGCTGCGGGCCTCTATCAGCAGAGCGGCACGACGGAAGACGCTCACGGCTGGCACATCCCTCTTTAACTTGTACGTTGCTTTTTCGTGCTGCCACCTTAGATGCCCCTAGGCCCAGAATTCTCTCTCTTTCAGGACCAGTGATATTAGTTTAGTTCATTATTTTCAGTTTCTTATTTAGTTTATTCATTTAATTTTAGTTTTAGTATGGTTTATTTAGTGTTTTTAAGTTTGGCTTGGTTCAGTTAGTTTAGTTTAGCATATAGTAGTTATCTGAGAAAATCTATTTAACTTTGGTGGTATCTAGGTAAAATAAACCAAAGTTAAACTAATAAAATAAAGACTAAACTACAGTAAAACTAATAAAACTGAAAGTAATCACGGGACTAGGGGCTAGGCGTATCTAATGTGATAGACCAACTTTATCGTTCCCCTTTCTCTTTTTACAGTCAGTCTCTGTCCGGGGGCAAGTATGAATTACCGTTTACGTGTCCACCTCTCGCATTTCAGGACCCCGAGTCAGGGTATCGACTACTTGATCAAGGCTGGTGTGATTTCCAACAATCCTGGGGCTATCGCACAGTTTCTTACTGGTCCCGATCTCAGCTGCCAAGCCATCGGCGAGTACTTTGGACGACTTTCAGACCCCCTGGCCGTCAAAGTCACAAAGTAAGTGCCAGCGGGTATAAATTTTCAAAGTTTCTTATTCATCCGGCCAAGTAGCACATAATGGAATGGCTTAAAATAGCGCTGCTACAATGTTTTAGTAAGTTGTTTTGCTTTCCACATTAAGGTGTTCCACTATCGCGTAATTAAGTCCACGTGATAGACGCATTAATCAGTAGCCATGAAAAATATTAGACTGCAAAGCCCATCTTGCGCATATTTGTTCGTTACT